GACCTCAATGCCATCATAGTTAAAAACGCATAGCCTCTACTGTGCATCGACGACCTACTGGATAGGGTGCATGGGCTTAAGTACTTCACCAAGATAGACTTAAAATCCGACTACCATCAGATTGCCATTAGACCAGAGGACCATCACAAAACCGCTTTTCAAACCAGGTACTGTATGTACGAGTTTGTGGTGATGCCCTTTGGCCTTTGCAATGCGTCGGGTACATTCCAGCATGTCATGAATAGGATATTCCATGACTACTTGTCGCCGTGTACCTCGACAACATTCTTATCTTCAGTAGAACTGTTGAGGAGCATACTCAGCATGTAGGAAAAAATACTTTCACTCCTACGACAACACAAGTATAAGATAAATTTAGAGAAATGCGAGTTCGGTCGCACTAAAATCTTGTACTTGGGTCATGAGCTATCCACGAAAGGGATTAGGCCCGAAGATGCCGAGGTGGCTAGCATTCGTGACTGGCCACGACCTCGGTCTGTGATCGAGGTCAGATCTTTCTTAGGGGATAACATGCTACTATCGCAACTTTGTGAAAAATTATAGTACGGTGGTCACTCCTCTGACTGATCTTACACACCTTGATGCACCATGGGAATGGACAAACAAATGCGAGGCTGCTTGCAAACGATTGAAGCATGCCCTCATGCATCATGAGGTTCTCATGGTCCCCGATCCTCAGAGGCCATTCGTTTTGACCACTGACGCAAGCCAATATGGCATTGGCGCATTGCTGGCCTTACAGGAAGGGAAGAAGTTGAGATCGATCGAGTACATCAGCAAGAAGATACCAAGTCCACCTACGAAAGGGAGCTCTACGCCCTCTACAAAGCACTTGTCCACTGGAGACATTATTTGTTGGGAAGGTTTTTCTACCTAAGAACTGACCATCAGACACTCTAGTGGATCAAGACACCACCTGTCCTCTCTGACACACTCAAACGTTGGATTGAGGTCATAGACCAATATAACTTCAAGCTAGATTATGTGAAGGGAGAGTACAACAAGGTTGCTGATACGCTGTCACGTAGGGCATTCTACCTGGGTGCGCTGATTACTTAGTTTGGCCTATCAGATGATGTAACTCGATCCTTGGTGGAAGCTTACAAGGAAGACCCTGTCACGATGGACACCATGCGCAAACTTGAGGCTAAAGATAAGGCCACATCAGATGAGTTTGTCATGGTGGATGGGTTACTCTTTCTGGAAAAGGCAGGATTTAAGAGATTAGTTGTTCCAGCTAGTGAAATTTTGCATAGTTTATTTTTAGGCGAATGCCACGACGCGTCCGGACACTTCGGCTACAAAAAGACAAGTGCTAATTTAGTACAACGTTTTTGGTGTCCTGTTATGCTCGACGAAGCACAAAAGTACGTATAGACTTGTCAGATTTGTCAATGGGACAAGCCGCGAACTCAAGCTCCGCTTGGGTTACTCAAGCTCTTGCCCATTCCTGCCCTTCCCGGATAAATCGTATCCATGGACTTCATGGACACACTCGTGACCAGCAAGAGTGGCAAGAGGCACATCTTCGCCAAAGTTGACAGGTTTACTAAGTACGCTAGACTAATTGCCATGCCGGAAACAGTGAGGACGGAGCATGTCATCAAGTTATTTATGGATAACTGGGTGCGTGATTTCAGACTGCCGAAGTCCATTGTTAGATGTCTGTTTTTTCTTTTTTTTTTTCAACACAAAGCAGCTCCGATCTATTGGTGGGGAGCATCACCTGCCCGGAAACGGGCCCGGCATCCCACACAAGAGAAGGGAAGGGTGGAGGGAAGAGAGGGAAAGGGGGTATCAACTCTGCCCCAGGGCAGAGCTGCCGGCGGCAGAGGCCGACTTCGAGCGGGAGCAGGGGGACTCACGGGCTGCTAATCGTTCTTGTCGGGAGGCACATGGTGCACCCAGTCACAGGAACGGAGGGCAGCCCCAGGACGCCTGCAAGGCTGGAAGCGGTCTCCTCGCTCCCCCCTTAATAGTCCAATATCAATGTCAGTGACGCCGTTTGCCCCACAGGGGTGCAATATTCACAATCTTCGCAGTGGTTACGTATCAGTGCCTGCTGTGCCGTGTACCCAATGGTTACAATCTTTGCAATGGTTACATATCAGTGCCTGCTGTGCTGTGTGCCATTCTACAATGCGGCATTGTATCAATCATGTTCTGTCTACAAACATATTACAAGTGTACCAACTATTTACAATAGTTACTATATTTGCAACACACGCCCAGTTGTAGTGTTGCATCCCATACCCGAGTTGTAAGCAGCACTACTCCTATACCAGCTATCAGCAAATAAGTACAGTATTGGCGAACATACATCTACTTCCCACAGTGAGGTGCTCGCTAGTTATAGTGCATCAAGTTCTGCTACTGCAGTCTAGTCTACAGTGGATTTCCCTCCTACACCCGCTTGTTCTGTCACATCGCATTCCCAACTTGCACTCCTCCCTAGCTCACAGTTCCACCGGAGCAGTTGATTTACACAAGGCTCAGTCTACTGCTTTCATGTCCCGGCGCAGTCCTCCTCTTGTCGCGCTTCCACCGGGTTCCACCTCCATTGCCATAGGCCAGGGGCGTCGCCAATTGTGACCAATGCAGAGTAGGGGGCCCAGGCCGCTTGGAGGTGTGGCCAGGCCGATAGGGGTTTCCTTTTGACGTCCCCCGCTATAGAGATTCTGAGATTTGCTAGAGTCATATTCCGCAATGCAGGGAATGAGGCCCATTGATGTTGGAAGATACTTGCTGTGTCCTGAGCGCCCAGACCGCTCCAATGAAGGCCGCCCTAATAACTTCAATAGCATAGGCTCGCTCTTTGCAAATGTTCTGTTGGCTAAGGTAGGGGCCGATCAGCAGAAGGGTCACCCATTCTTCAGCGGTCATGTTCCGAGAATCACCCCCGACCGCCTCTTGCCACCATGTCCAAAATTGATTTTGGGCCGGACAGCCAGCCCAGAGGTGAGAAAGGTCCTCTGTTGTGGCTAAGCACTGGGGACATGAGGGGTCTGTGAATGACGTGCGGGTTGCGAGCCATTGTTTGGTGGGGAGGGCAAGATGCAGGTTGAGCCAGAGCAGGCCCGCGTGCTTCTGATTCGGCAGGAGCTGCAATCCGGCGCAGGCCTTGCGCCAGGATGTCTCATTCCATGTATCGTCAATGTTCTGCGGCAGGCAGTTCCGTTTCCGCCATCGGGCCTTGATCTCGCTCTGCATGGGGGTCGGGGGTGTTAGCGAACGGTAAATAATTTTAGTTCGCGTTTGGTGAAGGCGTTCAGGCTTTCTTTGGGAGCCCTGCGGCCTCCATTCCCACATGGACGGGTCCACCGCCAGGGATAGCAGCCTGCAGGCCGGGTGAAATGACCTGTAGACGGGGGTCGATGTGTGGGTCCTGTCCCGTAGAACCACCACGGAGCGGATAGCGTCAGCAGGAAGCCAGCCATCATGTTCTGGTTTCCTTTGCAGAGGTGCACTGATGAGTCGGTTAGTGGGTAGGGGCGGACTCTCGGGCTGCCGGGCGTCTGCCAGAAACCATTGTGAGCCAATCTTGGCGCGCAGCTGGAAGAAGAGGTCAGGCAAGGTGTTATTGTGCAGGGTACTGGTCTGGAGAACCACCCATTCGCCGCGGTATCTGAGGCCTGATCTGAGCATGGCTGTCCATTCCTCCAGAATGGCCTGTTGGATGCATTTGAGTCGTGTCCATTTATCCGTCTGTCCCCGCAACTTCTCCGTGATCAGGCCCTCATCTATCCAGTCCCCGTTTGCTTCGACCCATATATCAGCGACCCGGCCTACCCCGGCTGCTAGCCAGGCCCTACCAAAGGCTCCTTTGGTCTTCATCCAGGGGAATGGACGACCCTCAACATCTAAAATCATGGGGTTATCGAAGAGGGGTTGCTGAAGGATCTGCTCCCTGGACGAGGGTGGGCAGAGGCGAAGGGGAGACAACTTTCTCCACAGCGCAAGTGTGGGGGTCCACAGTGCCCCCCGCTTAAGGTTGCCCAATAGCGAAGGCTGCAGAAGAGCCGTTTCCACATCCGCGGGGCGGAGGCGCATGGCATCTGCCATAGTCTGCAAAGTCAAGAGTTTCCAGGGGGAGGACTCATCCTCTAGGAGCAGCCAGAGGACGGTGCGCAAGTGTAGTGCTCGGATCTGGTTAGAGGGGTCCAGTATGCCAAGTCCTCTCGAGGCCCTAGGTTGGATGAGCTTGTCCCATGCCACCCGGTGAATGGCTGTAGGCGCAAGGCGGTCATTTTTCCAGTTGAATTTCACCAGATTAGTCCTATAATTGCGCTGTGCCTGCTGACCGGGCATCGAGACCGCTCCAGCGTACCACAACATCGATGAGGCCACCGTGTTGGCCAGAAGGGCTCGGCCAAATACCCCCGCCTGAAGTCACTTGGCGCAGTACGTCATACGATTAACAGCTTTTTGCATGATGGTCTCGATCTGAGTGCCATTCGATAGCGCATCCGGCATAACGATGCCTAGATACACAGCGCTGTCAGCGATGGGCTGTACTCGCATACCGTTAAAGAGGTCGGCCGCGTTCATATCCGGGAGCAGTGCTACCGATTTATGCCAATTCAGTTTTGCTCCCGCAAAGCGCTCAAAACGCTCGATCTGAGTTCTAAGCGCGTTCACGCTAGTGGGGGTGAGGGCAGTAATTGCCCCTGTGTCATCTGCAAAAGCCGAGCTCTTTGATTGCCTGCCGTGTGGAAGGGGAAGGCCTATCAGCTCTCTATATGCACGAAACATTTCATGAAGGTGTTCAATAAATAGCGCATACAGGGCAGGGGATAGTGGGCAGCCCTGCCGGACCGATCGGGTGATTCTAATTTTCTGCGTAAGGAAACCATTGACCAGTAGCCTAGACTCCGCAACATTAAAAAGTGTGGTGATCATATTGACAAATTTGTGGCCCAATCCCCTCCTCAGAAGTGCTTGCCACAAGAAGGGCCAAGAGACTCTATCGTACGCCTTTTCGAAGTCCAGCATCACAAAAGCCAAGGGAGGTTGCGAACGCTGAGCGTGCCACAGTACCTGCCGCGCTAGGAGGACACTGGTGATGATTCTGCGGCCAAACCCTGTTTGCGTCTCGTCTACTATTTCCAGAAGCAGTGTGGCCAAGTGATTGGCCATAACTTATCCAGGCGAATCGCGCCAAAGGCTCCCCCATGCACGAGGTGGCAGTCCCTTTAACTCCCCCTTGATAGTGACTTCTCGCACGAGTGATGGCAACTTTATGGTTGGCTGCCGAAAGTAGCGAGATAGGGCTCCAGTTTCAAATTTCCTTTAGGGGGCCCTTCTTATGGATCAAGATCACCGTGGCCAGTGCGAAGTCGGGCGGGAGGGCCTCTTGGCCAAGCCATACCGCATTGAAGCCCCACAGCAGGTACGGGCCCAGGAGCTCAAAGCAGAGTTTGAGATGCTCCGCCGACATTCCATCGGGGCCCGGCGCTTTTGCAGGAGGCATGTCAACGAGGGCAGCAGCCAATTCACGGTCCGTGATCGGTTCATCCAATCGCTGGCGCTCTTCTGGGGATACCGTCCTAGCGATTTTACTCCAGATGAGGTGTTCAAGAGTCTCCAGAGGGTCCTGCGCACCAGCGGGTTTTTCCTCAGAGAAAAGATACCGATAATACTCCTCCACATAGTGCAGGATTGTCTGTGTAGACTCCGCTGTTTGCTGAGAGTCGTCAAATGGATGGTTAATGGCTAACATCAGTGAGGGGGGTCTATCCGCGCGCAGTTGGGCAAAGAAGATTTTGGACATGCGTTCTGCCGCCGCAGTCCAGTTCGCTATGTTCTTGCGGGCCCACAAATCGGCGTCTGTGAGCTGCCATTCTTCCCACTGAGCTTTGAGAGCTGCCCACTGCGCCCACCAATCATTCTCATCATCCTGGGGGCCCGGTCCATCTCCTAGGTCGAGGGCCCGCTGGGAAAATTCCTCAGCGGTGCGTCTTCGAGCCCGTCTAGATGCCGCAGCGCGTGCTTTGAGCAGCCGGACCAGGGCCGCAGTGCCTTCCATTAACCATGTCAAGGTCGGCTGGGAGGGAGATCGCAGCTCCGTCCAATATTCCCAATGCTGTAAGATGAAGGCCTTATATGCCGGGTCCGAGAACATCCATGCAGGGACTGTCGCTGGAGGGGGTTTGGTCCTGAGCTGGGAGGGGATGGCAAACACGGTGGAGATCATTTTGTGATCGGAATGGGCAACGGGAGTGATGGTGAAGTCTAAAAGATACGTCATCAAATCTCTTGTTGCCCGGGCCATGTCTATTCTGCTAGGTTTTTTGAGGGAGGGGCCTACCCAGGTAACCCCCCATTGATGGGGCCATAGCGAGCGGAATGTATCCTCAAGGCCCATGTCGTTAAGAGTGTTGTGCATAGCTTGGATATCCAATCTATGCTGGGGATGTCCATCCAGGCGGAGTGGGGGTTCTGTGGTCGTATTATAGTCCCCGATCAGGACCAACTTTGCGGTATCCGGGATAGAGGTGGGTAACTGGGACCAAAATGAGCATTTTTCCTGAATCTGAGACGGGGCATAAATCGTTGCAATATATAACCGTTCCCCTGCGATGTCCACGTAGACCCATGCCCATCGGCCCAGTGTGTCCGCAAAGAAGTCTAACACTTCCCCCCTAAAATATTTAGTGCAGATTATGGCTACACCCCCCGCAGTTCCTTCTGCCGGGGCCCATAGCTGGGACCTGCCCCTTACTGACGGGAGTTGGCCGTCCGTTAGTCTTGTGGCATTGAGTTTAGTATCCTGGAGGCAGAGGAGCTGGAATTTTTCCCTGTCCATTAGTCCTTTAATTTCTCGCCATTTGGCTGAGAAGGATGTGGGGCCAAGTCCTCTGACATTGAGCGAGGCGATTTTGATGGTTTGGGCGGTTGCCATCTTGACAGTAATGTATATACCTCTACCGGGCTGTGAGAGGGAGGCTGTCGTTGTCCTTCAAAGGGTTGCGCCAACAGGCATTAGTCACAGCAGCGGCTGTTCCATTCCCATCACCATCTGCGCAAACTTCGCAATCAAGACCGAATCCCAAAAGCAAAACCCCTCCCGGGGCAAAGGTTGTCAAGGATTGCAGACGAAAAGGCAGATTAGGTCTATATTCCAAAAGCCGCTGAGTTCCACAGGGCGACAAATGCTCCAAAACCCAGGAGAGTTCACGATTGGGCAACGCTCAGCGCTCAAATTGCAAGAGTATTTCACAATTCCCCCCCAACCATCCACAGCCATTCCAGCTCCCCAAAATCAAAACCACTCCGCGGGGCAAAAGAAAGGCAGATTAGTTCCAGATTTCAAAAGCCGCTGGATTCCACAGGGCAACAATTGTTCCAAACCCCAGAGTATTCATAGTTGCGCAACACTCAGCGCACAAGTTGCCAGAGTATTCCCAGTTCACAGTTCTCCCCAGGGCGACAGTTATCCCAAATCCTAGAGGTTCACGATTTCGCAACCCTCAACTTACAACTTACAGAAGTATTTACAGTTCAGGCTCGGGTGTCAAATCCCCACACGGCCGTCAGGGGAAGCTCTAATCACCAAGCACCCGTGGAAACATACACATACTACTATTGTTACCTACAGTTCTAAACTGTTGTCACCGACTATCTATGAGAGCATACATGATTCCCTGTGACAAAATTCACGATTGATCCAATTGAAACGGTATTCACCAATTCATGGTAGCTGAGGTAGATCCCAGGGCTCGATTCCTAGTTCCCCAACTTACCTGTGTACAATACCTACGTCAACTCGAAGAGTTGAACCTGCGACCTGTAGAACCGCCAGTGGTAGGTAGGTCTGTCGTAGGTCTATAGGTAGCCAGGATTCGATCCGTAGACCTGTAGACTAGAAGGCTAGCTGCAGTCCTTCTAGAAGGTTGGCAAGTGGTCAAGTGGTGCAGGCAAGTGGGCAAGTGGTGTGACTAAAGCAAGCCCATGATGGAGACGAGGACAAGTGGCAAGGTCAAATAGTAGGACCCCGGTGCAATTGCACTGCGTCGTAGGGTCGTCATCATACAGTCAAGGGAGAGTCTAGAAAGTACCAGTCCGTTCCAGCAAGTACCACAGGGGGGACTGTGTGCACCATGGGCCAGGGACACAGGGCAGACCAATGCAGCGCAGAAGTATAAATCAAGAGGCTGCGTCCAGCCATTCATTCATTCCTGCGGATGCCAGGCGGAAGCGCTGCCTTAGCAGCTTGTGCGAGGCGGTCTGCAGTGCGCCCGAAGACGAAGTGGGTAGAGAAGTGTAGTGTAGCGATAGGGTAGAGGCAGCTAGCGCTGCCATAGCTGTAGCATAGTGTGTGTGTGTGTTGTGTATGATACTGAGTGTTGCGTGTGGGACATCCAGGGTGATCCAGAGTGCGAACAGTGAGTTGTGTGGGCGCCCAGTGGCCATAGCCAGTTGAAGAGAACTCATATCTGGTTACGATATCTTGAGTACTGTGTGGGCGCATGTCGCCAGTTGCTGTACCGCTGTTTGCAGGCATGACAAAGTGACAAGAAGACGAGTTTGATTACACAATTACCTATCACGAAGTATTCATCAAGCACCCAACCCCTCAACTTACAAATTACAGAAGTATTTACAGTTCGGGCTCGGGTGTCAAATCCCCACACAGCCGTCAGGGGGAGCTCTAATCACCAAGCACCCGTGAAAACATGCACATACTACTATTGTTACCCACAGTTCTTAACTGTTGTCACCGACTATCTATGAGAGCATACATGATTCCCTGTGCCAATATTCACGATTGATCCAATTACCTATCACGAAGTATTCACCAAGCACCCATGGAAACATGCACATACTACTGTTGTTACCCACAGTTCTAAACTGCTGTCACCAACTATCTATAAAAGCATACATGATTTCCTGTCACAAGTCAGCATGGAAACATTCAGGATTTATCCAATTACCTATCACGGAGTATCCTATCCCATTTTGGACATTCCACCCTTGTCGTCATCATGTACGAGCAAACGGTATATTACATGATGGAGATTCGTCCTATCTAAAACCTAGATCCGTTACTACCATTAGACGACCCTGCTGTCCACAACAGGAGGGAATCAATTGTGGGGGGCATCATCCGGCCGCGTCTTGCGACCCACAGGTCGAGGCCCTCGGAGCCATAACTGCGGATCATCAGTGAAGGATGGGTGTGTGAAGCGCTTATTCTCAGGGAGCCGCTTGTTGAGGAGGGCCAGGAAGGAGGCCGATTGGCCAAGCTGCACGGATTGTTCTGTGACATCGCCAGCCTCCCTGATTAGAGGGAGGAGGTCGCACCATGTGAAGGCGAGGTCCTGCGGAGGGAAGAGATTGCGCATGGTTGGTTCTGCATGGAGCATAAAGCAGTATGCCCCGATGGTCTGTGTAGCTGAGCCCTTGAGCAGTAATCTAATTGCTGATATCCCCTTGATGGGCGAAATTCTATACGCAGGCCCCGCCCATCGTTCCTTAACGGCTACAGCTCGCTGCAGAGAAGGGTGATGTTCAGCCACCTTGATGAATGGGATAGCCGGGTCTTGCGCCGTCTCAGGCTGGCGGTATAGCATAGCCTGCACCTTATTCTCATACAGACGGCAGACAATAGGGACTATGCGAATCTGGCCCTGCGATCGGAGTTCATCGAACCTCCCATCAAGGAGGAGTATGCGTGCAAGTTGCATGCGGTCGTGCGGCTGCGGCTCCTCTTCCGGGAGTCCTCTCAACGACTGCCCCAAGCTTTGCTCTTCCATGCTTTCGTCATCCGGGAAGGACGAAGGCAGTGGGTCCAGAGGATGGCGGCGTAGCGGGTTGTTAGAGCTGTCAGGCAGCGGCTGACTGGGGGGGGGGGGGGGGGGGGGGGGGGGGGGGGGGGGGGGGGGGGGGGGCTGAAAGACCGAAGGGCCTTGAGGAGGGGGGAGAGGAAGGGCAGGTCCCAGGGTTTGGGAGGCAGAACTCGTGATCTCCACGAAGTGCTGCCAATCCTTGCCCTCTGGGTTCTGCGTCGGCTTACCTACCGTTGGTTCAGAGGTCTTCCTCCTTTTATCCTGCTCGGATTCGTCCGGTAGGTCAACAGGCGATGCCTCCCTGCTCGTCCGACCCCTACCCTGCCTGCGCTGGCGTCCACGCTTAGCGTTCGTGCCCCGACTACTCTGCGATGGCCGTTCCTCTTGGTCACGGCTTCCTTCCTGTTGCTGGGGGGGCACGATCTTGAGGTCGTTGATGCCTTTGAGGAGTTCAAATTCGGCTTCCGGTGTAGGGTCAGACGTGGCAACCGCTTGAGGGGTGGTCTTCTGCTGACAACGTCCCGTTTTGTCCTTCTGCCTGCTATACCTGCCCCTCGAGGCCGAGCCATAACAAAGCACCCTGGCCTTGGGCTTCCGCTTGGCCTTCTGGCTATGGGGCCGCAGAAGCGGGCCGGAGTCACCGGCGGCTAGGCGTCCCCGAGTACTCTTTGGCCTTCCTTTCGGCTTGGAGGCCGCCGCCTGCTTGCCGCGTCCCAATCCTCTCGCGTCGCCACGCCGCTGCTGCCTTCGTTGGTGCTGCGTTTTCTGGTCACGCCGAGGCGGCTCCTGCTCGGTCCGCTCCACCCCTCTAGCTTGCCCTTCTTCCATCCCAAGGATTGTAGCCTTCTTTCCCTCCTCCCCTACCTCGAGCTTCTCATTCCGATCTCCGTTTGTGTCCTTCTTTTCCTCCCCCACCACTCCACCCCCCATAGCGCCTTCCTCCTCCCGCTGCTGTTCCGACCGTTGGTGCTGGGTCTTTCAGCCCTGGAGAGGAGGCACCTGGTCAGTCTGCTTCAAGCCCTTCGAGCCCTTGTCCCCGTCACCCTCACTATTTTCAGCTAATGCTCCAGGTGCCACTTCCCGGTCTCCATCGCCCTCCTTCCAGTGCAGACGGAGCGGCTCGTAGGGTTGCGGATTCTCCCCGCGTCCATCCTTGTCCACGTGGTCTCTGGTCTTTGGCGATGTGTCCCGCTTCTGTCGCCGGAGGCGTTGACCCTTGGTCTGCTCATCGAAGTCTTCACAGCACTCCATTGCCACCGGATGGCTGTCGTCTTCTCGCTGGTCCCCATCTTCTCCTACCACCGCCTTTTCAGAGAGAGTATCCCCAGACAAGACGATAACATCTCGGGGTGTTATACAGGCTTGATGGTTCAGGGGCCGGGGTCCCGCCGGCGCCTGACGCTGCTGACCGCCCCCCTGCGGCTGAGGCTGCGCAGCGTCCGGTGCTGGTTGGTGTGGTGGTGGCGGTGCTTGGTGTGGTGGTTGCTGCTGTTGTTGGCGCTCTTGCTGCATGCGTTCAGCCCGTTGAGTGTGATCCCCGCCTAGTGGCTGCATGTCGGACTTCTGACGGCCACCGCCCCCCTGCGGCTGAGGCTGCGCAGCATCCGGTGCTGGTTGGTGTGGTGGTGGCGGTGCTTGGTGTGGTGGTTGCTGCTGTTGCTGGCGCAGTTGCTGGCGCTCTTGCTGCATGCGTTCAGCCCGTTGAGTTTGATCCCCGCTTAGTGGCTGCATGCCGGACTTCTGACGACCATCGTGATGTCGGTCTGAGGCTGACTGCGGGGGTTTCTGCCGCTCCTGCCCTCCTCGTCGGTGCACGTCCTCCCGTGCTTGTGATTTTTTCGCAGACGCTTTATTAGATCCCTGATCCGGAGTGGCTGCCTGGCGTGTTCGGGCTCCCCTAATTCCATCAATGTTTTGAGAGTGCCGTGGGAGAGACGGTTGAAGGAGTCGGCGGTCGCCCACCTCCATCACGTCACCCAGGCTGGATTCGGTGGCGATCTCAGTATAGATCACGTTGTTGAATTCCTTTTCGAAGTCCTCCCAACAAGCAGTTTCCGTAGTGTCGTCACTAGCAAGGCCTGGGTCGGCGCGCAGCAGCTGCTCCCTCCGGACGAGTTCCTCCTTGGTCTCTGCCATAGTTAAGCAACAACCCCTACGTGCGAGATGCCGGTGCCTTCGGCAGTTGTCGCACCATGGGGTCTCACTTGTGACGCCCCTAACCTCTGGTCGGCCATAGTACGCTTGCGCCACCGCCAACCGCTCCAACCCCTGCGAACGCAGTGCGGGGTAGAGGTCAAATGTAATTGTCTCCCTTCCATCCCCATCTATCGCCCAGGTGCCCTCAGGGTTCCTGACTGCCCCGAAGAATGCTTCAGCTAACTGTCGGAGCATGAGTACCGCCATGGGAGGGGGCTGCACAAACCGTACCCATGGTTTCGCCTTCCGCTCTTGCAGCCTCTCCCACTCCACCTCTACTGGCGATTTCCATGATGTAAAGCGAACGAAGTGCGTATGATCGCCTAGTCGAATCCCCTCACTCCCCCGGTCATGGAGCAGCCAGTTTCGCAGCGCCGCCGTGGGGGCCCAGTAGAAGACCAGAGCCCCACCTTCCACCGTCGCTTCGGCCTTTGTATGAGGCCTGGCCTTTCTCAGGCCAATTCTCCAGCTCCCAGCAACGTATCCAATCTAACTTGGCCTGAGGCGCTAAGTCCTTGAGAGGTCCCTCGAAGCGCATCACTATGATATGCACACGCATATACGTGATTTGCGCAATCGCCATTTTCTCCTCAACCTGGAGAGTGAGTTCACCATCCACGCTCTTAATGCTCGCTGCGGGATCCGTCACAAACGAGCGAGTCAGGGCCGCTCTCCTGACCGCTTTCATTATCTGCCAATCTGTGCGGCGTCCGTGTGACGGACCCGCTTGGAGATGATTCACCTCCATTCCCTCCGCACCTTGCCCCTGCACCTCCATCATACCCCTCTCTGCTCAGTCCCACTTCCCCTGGAGTCTTCGCCGTCCGTTGTGTCGTGATCGCTTGAGTAGAGACCCCACCGTTGACCCCGTGGGTTGCGTGGTCGTAATCTTTGTCCCGATTCCGGCTGCTCCGTCTCCTGGGGGGGGGATCGCGGCCACACCAGCTGCTTGATGTCTCGGTCCTGATCCGCCTGCTGTGATAGGTACTCCGCTTGCCGCGGTGGATGCTGCTGTCCTTCTTGGTGCCCCTGCCCTTGCTGCAGCCCTTGTTGCACTCCTAGGCTCTGTGCCGGTCCTGAAGCTCGCTGCCGTGAGTGTTGCGGAAGTTATTGCCGAGGCCGAATAATGGGTGTGGAGAGTCGATGGAGTCCCCGGCCCGTCCGCTGGCGTCGGAATGCCGCTCGGAGCTCCTGATGGGCTATCCTGTTGATAGACAGGTTGCGCCTCACTGCCTTAATCACTTCATCAGTTGTGCTGCCTCCCGTACTACAGTTGTCTTCGTCCTGGCGCCCTCGGTGGGCGGAATGGTTGTGTAAGAAGGTTGCGGAACAGATGGGCAACCAATTCCAAACGACTTTGGGGAATCATCTCAAAGCCAACGGTCAAGATGAACAGATGAACCGTGCGGTGCAGCATCTGCTGAGGCATTACATTAAGCCCAGGCAAGATGACTGGGATAAGAAGTTGCCTCTCATCGCCAGTCTATACAACAACGTCATACACAGCACCACCGACATCAGTCTGAATCAACTGCATTTGGGGTAGGGGAACATGTTTGGGTCCATATTTCATTTGGGGTAGGGGAACGTGTTTGGGTCCATATTCCTTGCAACGCTCATTTGAGGGCGATAACATTGGCACATGAGTCAACTTGGTGGGACCTGAGGGCGATAACATTGGCACATGAGTCCACTGCTTTGCTCTTATTTGGATGGAATCTTGGTGCATTTGAGCTCTCTGCTTGGTACATGACTATCTGGACTTCAGCATGATTTTGCAACTTGTATTTTTGTCTATGGCTCTTGCTCATATTCCTTGCAACATACGTAATGAAATGAATTGATCTCTAAAGCAAATAATTCAAATAGAATAAAACGCAATCAGACTTATCTTTCTCGACACTCAACATGCGTATAAACAGATGACGATCAAGCTGGCGACTTGCGCCCACACAAAGCTCAGAGATAATGAAGCCAAGAACGCAACTCAGATTCAAACTTGTCTTGGTCGGCTATGTCCGACCCCTGTACTCACAGCAACTTGTTCGTGCACACACCCTGGACCTCCTTGGATGTCCCGCACACACACACATACACAGTCCTCACACGAACACCCACACTCACACTCTCCCTCTCTTCCCACACACTAACACTAATAACTGCTGACGTGGCGGCTATGGCCACCGTCTCTCTCCTCTACTGACTAACTATCGGCTATGGCCGATCTTCATCCTCTTAGCCCTCTTCATCAACGGGCACCTGCAGACCTTTCGCACACAAGACACTTTGACAGCACTTCCGTATGGCTCACAGGCAGAATGAATGCATGGCTTGACGCTGCATCTGTATTTATACTTTGGTTTGTCAAAGGTCTGCCCTTGGACCCTGGGCCTGGGGTGTACACAGTCGCACATGGTACTTGCTGACTTGACAAAGTGAGACCAGGACTGGGTACCACTGACTAAGCAAGGTAAGACTGCCCACTTGACCACTTGCTTACTAACTGACTACTATGACTCACGAAGGGCCAGTTCTGGATGTTTCGGAAGACTGTGGACTTGACCCTTCAGTACTATAGCAGCTACAACTTGACCTTTCAAGATTGTAGCAGCTATGACTCCTACCTCTGCTAGGACCTCTAATCAACAGACCTGTGGTTCAAGACCCAACGACCACACTACCTACATCAAACAAACAGGTGGCTTCCAAAACATAGGTCGTGGGTTCGAGCACACACGGGTCATCAGTTCTGTTCAAGGGTAAGGGCGAGGTCTGGGGATCGAGCTCTGGGATCTGCAACTGCTACCTCAAAGGTGAAAACCGTTTCACTCCCGCCGGCCTAAACTCGAGGTCCTCCGAGAATAACTCAATCTATAGCAGGGTCTTTACCTTTCTTATCTCTTTCATAGGCACAAACTATGTCGAGAGCTGTTTCTAGAAGTTATGTTCGTGTAAACCAGCGATCGTCCTCGGGCTCTTGGTAAGCAAATCTGACTTTATACTGTTTTTGTGGACGACCTCTACGTCAAGTCCTGAATATATCTTCATCTACTATGCCGTCAATGTCGTACCTTCCGTCCATATCCGGAGGGATCATGGACCTTCTTGATGGGAACTGCTGACTCGTAGTGCAAGGCAACAACTTTGACGCGTGGAAAACTAGATAGGTGTGGAGGTGTGTTGGAATTTCTATCGCGTAAGACGGTCCGTCGTCTCCGCCTTTGACTTCTAGAACTGGCCACGGTCCTCTATACACAAACAACAGTTTCTGTGAGATGTTCTCCTCAGGAGTAAACTCTTTGGACTTGACCCAGCCAAGGTCGCCTACTTGAAACTGTGACGAGCGATGATGCTTGTTAGCTTGCTCTATCATTCTGTGTTGGGCTTTCCTGAGTTTTTCTACCACCTTGGCAATTTCCTTCTCGTGCTGTAGTGCAAACTCCCTAGTACCAGGCGGTAGCCTCTAAATCTGGTCCCGGTTCAGTCCCTCAAACGGTCTGCGCGGTCTAAAGGACTTGTGTAACTCGGAAATCAATGGACACAGAGTATTCGGGTCCAGATGGGATAGGCAAGGGTCTTAGAAGACTCAACGGGGCTCGCGTCGTAGTTTTATTGCGCTGGCATACCTCGCAACTACGCACGTACTCCATGCAATCAGCTTTCGTGCCAGACTATGTGTAGGCACGTATCAGGTTGGCTAATATCTTTTGCCAACTGAAGTGCCCTTTTGTGTCGTGACATTCCCCTAAGATCAGATTGCGGATCTCTTCGCTGTTGGGAATTCATAGCCGATCTACGACGTCTGTCTTCTCAAACAATAACCCATTAATGGTGCGGTAGTGAGGTTCAATGGCTGGGTCCTCCTTGACTCTCTTAAGGAGGTCATTATAGATAGGGTCCTGCGTGTACGGGCTTAGGACTTTTTGCTGTAAGTCTGAACCTATATCCAGATAGTGAACTATAGCTCCAAAGTAGTCGTCTCTCCTACTCAGGGCATCGGCAACCACATTATACTTCCCTTTGGCTGGCTTGAGCTCGAAGTCGAACTGATCTATCTCGGCGGGCCACCTAGTAAGCTTAGGTGTCCTCTTGGCCTGCGTCCTCAACCACCTCAATGTCTCCTAGTCTGAATAGACTTTGAAGTGCCTCCCAAGCAAGTAGTGTCTCCAGTGGTCTAATGCTTGCCTGAGAGCGTAGAGTTCCCTCTCATTGGTGGATGTCGCTACCTTCGCTGAAGGCAACCTAGCGGACATGAACTCAACGGGTTTGTACCCATTGCCATCATCTTGATGTAAGACACCGCAGAGCTCTCTCAAGACTTAGAAAGTTGGTTGTACAACCCATAACTTGGACGTCGTAGTCAGGACAACGTGATCAGCAGAGTTCTCTCAAGACTTAGACAGTTGGTTGTACATCCCACAACTTGGAGTTTGGGCCTACCATGCCACACTAAGCAGCTCGCTGGTCTGTACCGGTCCTTGGGAGGGTTAGGCCTCCGGGACGTGTCAGTCATCAGACATGGACTTAAGCCTTACTCAGCCCATGTAGGTTTGGTCAACAAAACTCTATGACCACATGCATGGAGTCCTATCACCTGGACAGAAGTGACTCAATGCAGAAAGAAGAGACAGGCAGACTCAACAAGTACCAAAGGGTAAGTGCACATCCACAGGGCGAGGGGATAGGCTGAAGGCTTGGCGAGATTATACCAACTCCAGCTTGGTCAAAATCGTGGTCAACGGCCTCCGATCAACGCTGGTCAATGGCTGGTCAACTTGGTCAAACCTCCCGGTCAAAGCTCTGACCTTTGGCTATGGTTGCCGACCCTTCTCCTTCGCCAACCTTTCTCTCTCCCCCTCCTTCCCCCTTCTCTCTCCTTTTTCACTGACTTGGCTATAGTGTCTTCTTCTTCTCTCTCATCTCCCCTTCCTTCAGTTTCTCTCTCTTCCTCAACTTCGTCTTCGTCACTCCCGGTCTTCTTCTTCCTGTTAAGTCCGAGCTCGACGGCTATGGCCGCGACTTTCTTCTTTGCGGCTACAAAACCAATCTTGTATCACTCAATCTCTCTCTCTCTCTTCTCGTTTTCTTTCTGTTCTTCTTCCGTCGTTGTCGTTTCCTCCTTATAGGTACAGCCGCTATGACCGCCCGACTCCAACTTCGCTGCTCGGCCCTTTTCCTTCTTCTCGACAACTTCTCTTACTCAGCGTGGGTGGTGGCTTCTTCTTCGACGACATGATCTTATTTTGATCAACGACGCGCAGCAAGCACGGGTAGTGCGAGAACTATCGCG